GGGAGGCAGGCATCAAGAGGTGCAGGAGCATGTGGGAATGCTCCTTCGCTTCCGTCTTTGCTTGCTGCTGCTGCTGCCGCCTCAGTTACGGAGGGGACAAGCCCTGAGCTCTGAAAGAGGCAATTGGGAGACAGCGGCAGCAGCAAGAGGCGCCCAAGCACATGCTCGCGACTGCTTCCTTCCATTTATAAGATGACCCTCAATTTTTCCTCTGATTTTAGAAAAAAGTGTCATCTTGTACACGGTAAAATATGGTAGTTTATAGCAAATGCTATACATAGTGTGGTCTTTGGCTCCCTCTAGTGGCCAGTTATGTTCTCACCTTTAGAAATATATATTTCTAGAATTGTTTTAAAAAATATTTTCAGATTATGAATGAGTGGCTCATTGGATACTGTTCCTACAGATATGGGGGTCATACTGTCCTTGATAAAATTAAGAGCAGATGATTTAGCTTATGCTAGTTGCATGCTCTTAAGCTGCTCGCTTACTGACCTTCGCTTTGCGACCCGCCAATCAGCTGTCCGGTGGGTCCAAAATGGCCGCCGGAACAGCCGAAAGGGGCTGGGGCGCAGCGTTTTCGCGCCCTTGGTAAGCAAGGAGAGCGCGCGAAAACACTGCGGAAGCCCCGAAATGGCTGCGCGCAACCATTTCGGGGCTTCTGGCAGCGTTTTCGCGCGCTCCCCTTGCTTACCAAGAGCGCGAAAACACTGCGCCCCGGCCCCTTTCGGCTGTTCCGGCGGCCATTTTTGACCCGCCGAACAGCTGATGGCAGCCATTTTGGCGCCCTCGTTCTGCGAGGGGAGGGCGCGAAAATAGCTGCCGCCTATGGAGGAACTTCGCTGAACGGTGAGTTTGAAAGCCATAGGAACGCATTGAACACAGTTCAATGCGTTTCTATGGCTTTTTCCCTCCCGCACAGCGATGTTTCCCACAGCGAAGGTTAATCCGGAACGGATTAACCTCGCTGTGCGGGGCACCACTGTATATGCTTATACCGGTTATTCTATCCAATGAATCTTAGTGTTCTCCTTGGCATCTCATTTCTTGGAGATTGGATTGTGAATTGAATGTTTCCAATCTGTGGGCCATTGTATTGTTTTCCATATTTGTTGGTATATTCTTGTTAGGATTTTGACACATTCAGTGTCTATTGTTTGAAACAGTTCTATTGGTATCCCATCTGGCCCTGGTGATTTATTTTTTCCTAATGCTTTCAGAACAGCTTTCACTTCACTTTCTAGAACTGCAAGTTCTCTGTCATAGAATTCCACTTCAAAGGGGTCTGTTATCCTTTTATCTCTTCCATATAGATTTTCAGTGTACTGTTTCTCCTTTCTCTTTATTTTCTCTTGTTCGACTAGTGTGTTTCCTGGTTGGTCTTTCAGCATTCCTAATCTAGTCTTGCCCTGTAGGTCTTTTAGGTCTTTCAACATTCCTAATGTAGTGTTGAATTTTCCTTTGATTTCTTGGATCTTCTGGATGAAATATCTTGTTTTCCCCCTTTTGTTGTTTTCCTCTATTTCTTTGCTCTGGGCTTGATAATAGTTCTCTATCTCTTCATGGTAGTCACTGAAAATCAAGGTTCTGACCCTATTTCTGTCACCTTTTAATTTTGCTTCTCAACTATCCTTAGCAATTGTTAGTGTTTCTTTCATCACCCATCTGTATTCTTTCCCTCTAATATATCTGGTTTCAATCCACAGTTCTTGTAGTTCACGGTTAGTTGAGTTTAGTAATGCAAATCTCTTTATGTGGACTTTAAGCATGAGAAATGTTGTTTAAATTATATTTTGGCACTACAGTTCTTTTAGTCTTCTTTTCCAGCTTTACTGTAATGTTGGATATTAACAGTTCATGACTGGTACCACAGTCTGTTCTTGGTTTTGTTTTTGGTAGAGAGATTACAGCTTCTCTATCTCCTGCTTCCCGTCATATAATTTGATTTCTACATTGGCCGTCTGATGATGTCCCTGTGTACAGCCACTTGTGTGGTTGCTTGAAGCATGTATTGCAGTACACATATTGTTGGCTTCAAAGAACTCTTAAGAGTCATTCTTTTCTGACTTCTAGGCGGGGTGGATAAAAATCAATGATTATATGTTAAAAAATCAATTTAAATCACAATTTTAATGTGAGGAAACCAGCAAGAAGGGGATTAATCATTCCTACAAATCTGCAGAAATATTGGCATGAGATAGAGGAGAGAAAGAATGCTCATGGAGTTAGGGACCCATCTCAGCAGGTGTTAAGAATTTTATCTTTGGCCTTGGAACATTTTTTTTTTGAGAAACTGAAAATGTTTGAGTTCACATGGTATTCTAATTGGGCACTACTGCTTTTCCAGTTCATTATTCTAGCAAGAAATTATCAGTTAGTTAACTAAGAAAGGACTTTATCTGATTGGCTGAAAGGAGTGAACCCTCTCATGAGGAGGTGATGGGATATAAGAACAGTGGTTCAAGGAGCAGCTCCTAGCAGCAGCTTTTCTCCTACTGCTTCAACCTGTAATCCAGTTCTGCTATTATGCTGAACTCTGTCCCCTGGAACCATGCTACATTGTAAGTATAGTTATGCTGAACTCTGCTTGTGCCCTGGAACTATGCTACATTGTAAGTATAGTTTTTGAATAGTTAGCTTTTATTGCTTTCTTTTAAACTCACTCTCAACTGCCTACATCTCTGAATAAGTTTTGTTTTATCATCATCATGGAACTGCTTCACATAATCATTGTTTTAGAATCTCTGAATTTGCTTTTGAATTTATATATTCTTTTGAAATTTCTGCAATAAAAATAAAAATGTACAGCTGTATTTTCATAATGGCTTGTGGTACTAAAGACACTGTCTTGCATTTGGAAGTCTTTTTGAACATTTTTGGGTATTGTGTTTTCTACCTTGCAAGTTTGGTTTCCAGCCAGAAGCAACATCTTGCATGTTCTATTCTTCCAGGAGCAGGAAAGGAGCAAGCAGCTCAGAGGTGTTGGGTTTACAAGAAACTTTCTCAATCACTAGTACCCCCTCTAGTGGTAGAAGGCGGAATAGCAGCTTCCCATTAGTTTCTATGGACGGAAAAGAGCAGATACGGATTAAATGGTTTTCAATGCATTCCTATGGGAAATGCAGATTCTACATAAGAACTTTTCCATTTGAGAACCACCTTCCAATATGGATTAAGTTCTTAAGTAGAGACCCCACTGTACATTGATCCACCTGGCAGGCACCCACACCAGGTTAAGCAAAGACAGTGTGGCTAAGTGGTAGTGGATCCTCTCTGTTGTAATCCAACATTCATCACAATTTAAAGTTTCAAAAATTGATTTTTTAAATTTAATGCTTCAAAAATCTGATTTTTAAATTTAAATTGGGCTTTGAATCAAATCCAGCATGCTCCTATGCCATATTTTCTAACAACATTTAGTTCTGCTTTCCCCCATAGGTGTTCTAGTCACCTATGATTATAAGCATGTCTTATTTTGGTGTGTGATCAATTTCCTTTTGGATACTTGCCTAAAAGCTTTCAATTTCATGTTCTTCAACATTCTTAGGTGAAATATAAACTTGAATGATATTATTCATTCATTCATTCATTCATTCATTCATTCATTCATTCATTCATTCATTCATTCATTCATTCCATTTATATCCCGCCTATCTGATCATTGCGACCACTGATGATTATATTGGTTGATTTTTTTCTCAAAAGTTTGATTGGTATTATTTGGTCAGATCTTGCATTATAAGCCCTAACTGATTGTGGTACATCTTGCCCCTCAGTATTAGTGACTCAATTTCTTCTGGATTTGTCATTTCTAGAGTAAAACACTTTGTAGTTATCTGTATGAAAATGTGCCATTCCAGTCCACTTTAGTTCACCGACATCAAGTATTGCAGTGTTTAAATGTTCCATTTTTTGCTTCATGGTTTCCAGTTTACCTTTACGGTTTCCAGTTTACTTTGATTTGTACTTCTCATATTTCATGTTCTAATTGTCACAGAAGCCTCTGTGCTGCAAGGTCAGAAGACCAGCAGTTCTAAGATCAAATCCACACAATGGAGTGAGCTCCTGTCAGTTGTCCCAGCTGCTTCCAACCTAGCAGTTCGAAAGCATGTAAAAATGCGAGTAGATAAATAGGTACCACCACAGTGGGAAGTTAATGGCATTCCGTGTCTAGTCACGCTGGCCAAGTGACCATGGAAACTGGCTCTATGGCCTGGAAATGGATGAGCACCGCGCCCTAGAGTTGGACACGACTGGACTAAATGTCAAGGGGAACCTTAGCATCAGACTTCCTTTCATCACTGTGCATATCAGCCACTAGGCATCCTTTTGGCTACAATCTAGTTGCATTATTAGTTTGTACTTGTCATTTGCTTTTCCTCAGTAGTTTATTGAATGCTTTCTGACCAAATATTTCTCTGTCCTCATCACTATTGGAACTATCCATTCTCTTCTCCTGATGGGACTCTTACTCCCAAAGAGAGTGGATGTGTCTTAGTCTCAGCTGTGGACATTCTTCTTTTGGTTACTCTGAAAGGAGTCTAGGGTTTTAATGGAGTCTTGCCATCCTGGTTGTATTGTTCTTGGCTTCCTTGACATGCTCAAGCCCCCCTCTCATGTTAGGGTGTACATCCAAGAAGGCAATTAGGCAACTAAGTAATTAGATACACGGGGCAATTTATTTGGATCTCAAGAATATGCGTTTGCAAGTACCTGTGTGACTGAACTTCACATTAATGCCATGAGTACATGAACACATGTGAATGTTTGAGCAGGTATGTAATTCTGATCCAGTAGTCCTGAATTTGTTTATATGAACTTTGAGGAGAATGTTGTTTTAGCAAGAAAGCCACAAAATTATTATGTAACTTCTCTGATATGGTGATTGTAGAAACATAAGTTTCAGTCCACATTTTTACATTTAAGTTGGATTCTTAGTGTGCTTTGGAAGCAAAACAACAATCTTTATTTATGGTCCATTTTCTTCTCAATCCTTGCAGCTCAGTGAACGTGCTCGAGAGCGGAAGGTGCCTGTTACTCGAATTGGGAGACTTGCCAACTTTGGAGGTGAGTCTCTTTGAGTTTTTAGGGGCAGAGAACATGTCAAAGGTAGAAATTTTTAGGAAAGTTTCAAAGCCAGAGTAATATAGTAAGCTTTCTGAAAACTACACTTGAAAAATGTTCATGTGTACAGTGGTGCCCCGCTTGACGACAATAATCCTTTCCAGGAAAATCGCTGTTAAGTGAAATCATCAAGCGAAAAAAAAATTGGAATGCATTGAAAACTGGTTAATGCGTTCCAATGGGTGAAATACCTCATCATCCAGCTAAGATCCTCCATAGGGGAAGCCATTTTCGATCTCTGTCTTGTGAAAATAGGTCCGGAAAACAGCGGGGAGCCATTTTACGAACTGCCAATCAGCTGTTTTTAATCGTCATCTTGTGAACAATCGGTTCGCGAAACCGGGACCTAATCATCATAAAGTGAAAAAACCCCATAGGAACCATCATTTTGTGATCGCTATAGCGATCACAAAAAACTCGTCGTCAAGTGATTTCGTCGTCAAGCGGGGCACCACTGTACATGGTTTGTGACAGATCTATTTAGCAGAGATGGTGCAATTCAGTCTTTGAATTGACACTTTTAAGCCATTCCACACCTTACCACCCTGAAATATAGTTTAAGGTGAGCTTGACTCAAGTGAATTTTGCTGGTGCAGATGCATGTTTGATGGAGATGGAAAGGTGCCCCTTTCAGATGGCATTACAGGTGTGATTTACTGATCTGAGTGGTATCACTCTGGGGCTAAATTGATCTAGGTATTTGGTAACGTTACACACTTTGGCCTCCTTCTAAATTTGCTTCTGTGTCTTGGAACTCATAGGCATCTATCTTCATAGCTATAGGTTGCAGAAACCTTGCATGCACTTTTAAATTTGCCACTGCTCTTTTTGTATGCCAAGAGTCATGGTCTCCAAGGCACTGACAGTATTAGAAACAGATAAAACAGTACATTTTGCGCTTCATCCTAGAATCAACCAACTTGAAAAGGAAACAGTAAAAGGAAGAGGGAGTGAGCTGGAAGCTTCCATATATCCCTTACTTCTCTGTCTACTAGCATAACAGTTATGGTGGCTGCATCCCTCTCCACCCACACTCCAAGGGATACTGGAATAAAGACTACTACAATGGCTATCATAGGAGTTTGTCCACATGGGTGGACAAAGTGTGGACTGTGTGTTCCACATGGGTTTAAATATTAAACTGTAGAAGCATTGAGATGATAAAAGTAAACAAATAGTTACTAGGTGTATTTTGAATAGTTTAAATTTGAATTAAAACATGGAAATATTTGGGATATTTCAATCTTGATTTTCCACTCCTATCACAGGCACAGTGAAGGTGGCTACTGCCGATTTAAAAAAAACCTAAAGCCTTGGTAACACAAAATTTAAAATCTAGGATTGGGAGATGGCATAGTTAGGCTCCCTCCACACTACTTGTTATGGTTGAGAGAACAGGGCTTTAAAAGTAATTTGCAATGTTAAAAAGCTGAGCAAAGCCCCTTCTGTTCTGGCTGATGTGAGCTGTCAGGGCACTGGACATAATGTAACACTCACCCTTCTGCTCCTGCAACAGAGAAGACAGCCCTCATAGCTTTCCAAGTTATATTCAGTTGCTTTCACTTTACCCCCACTGTCTTAATTTTCCAAGCATGTCTCAAAAGCATGTGGGTTCATGAAGAGACAGAGATAATGAGTTCCTAAGAATAGGTCACTCTCAGTCCATTTAGTACTGCCCAGAAATATTGAGCTTGCCTCATTTGGGTGGACAGAAATGTTATTAGGTCTAGTAATTGCGATAGGTCTCCTTTGCCATTAAGATTTTTATAATAGGATTTTTGTTGTTGCCAAGTGTGGGATTCCATTGCTCTTTCAATCTTGAAGCACTAGTAAGAAGTCTGGGCTGTGTGACTACTGTGTTTCCCTGAAAATAAGACAGGGTCGTATATTAATTTTTGTTCCAAAAACACATTAGGGCTTATTTTCAGGGGATGTTTTTTTCATGTACAACAATCTACATTTACTCAAATGCAGTCATGTCATCATCTTTTGGTTGCTGCGCAATGGTGGAGGGTTGGGTTTCACTTAACTGGGGCTTATTTTGGGGGGGGTAGGGCTTATATTTTGAGCATCCTGAAAAATCATACCAGGGTTAATTTTCAGATTAGGTCTTATTTTCAGGGAAACAGGGTATAATGTTGGGACAATTTTCAGATCTCTTTGCCTTTCTTGGAATTATAAGTATCTGGGACCCTGCAGAATAGAGGAATGTCACACAGTCTGCTCTTTTTGGTGTGCCAAGAGTGCAGAGAGCAACATATGGGTTTGGGAAGATTCGCCTCTGCTGTTTTGTGACCCTCCATATTTTAAGCTTGAGTTGGCTCCTGTTCTTAGTATTTATTTCTCTAAGATGAGACCTATGCCCATGCGTTTTCTTAACATTTATGTTTATAAAGCAAGTGGTTAGGAACCCATCTTCTACTAGGCAATTTATCATAGAACTTTACTGGAGCATGTGCTGTCCCGTGAAGCATCTGTAAAGTGAATATACACACAGGTATCCACACACTTCTTTCCAAAGTGTGTCCCCTAACACTTTTACTTATATTGTATAGGATTTTTGAATAGCTGCTGTCCCTTGATAAAAAAACAAGTGCTGCTGGAGAGGCATTGTATGTACTTGGTTTTGCTGGGAAACAATTGTAGATTGATGATTCTGTTGCTGAGGAAGTCTTTAGGTATTCCTGCAGTGTTAGAAATTTTGTGAAAAGAAATGTAGATTGGAATCCACTGATGGATTTATTGGTGACTTGCAGTTAGATCAGCAAAAGATTTTCATTCTTACCTGTCCAACAGCCTAACAACCTGCCTTAGTTGCTGAACAAGAATATTTGGGCACAGAAGTAGTCCTTTGTATGACACAACTTGTGGTTTGTTCTGACATTGATCATGTATTCCTGGACTGAAGGTGTACTTAATGAGCCTTGCTGTTAGGTAATTCTTAGCACCAACACCACTGTTTTACCCTGGCTTCTGTAGGTTTATCTCAGAGCCCTAGTAGAAAGCAACATCTAAATGTACTTACCAGTAAGTTAGATTGTACTTTTCCAGATGTATCAGTTTTGGAAGAAATTGTTGCTGAATTGTAATATTTTTTTAAATTCCAGTTTCTTGTCTGTTTTGAAGATGAAATGTATAAAGATTTGCCATAGATTTTGGTCAAGGGATGGGAATTTGTGATCTTCTAAAGAGACTGCCACCACGGTGGGAAGGTAACTGGCCATGTGACCATGGAAGATTGTCTTTGGACAAACACTGGCTCTATGGCTTGGAAATGGGGATGAGCCCCTAGAGTCAAACACGACTAGACAAATTGTCAAGGGGAACCTTTACCTTTACCTAAAGAGACTGCAGCTCAAATGTTTTAGACCAGGGGTCTCAAACACGCGGCCCAGGGGCCATTTGCGGCCCGCCGGATGATAATTTGCGGTCCCCGCCTTGCCTGTCCCCCAAAGCGACCATGCGTCCTCTGCTGTCAAGAGTAAAAAAAAGCCTCACCTTGCTCGACGGCTCTCTCCCAAGACAGCACTCTTGCACTCTCCATCCGGAACTGCAGCCTGCCAGCCAGCCTGCCTGTCTGCCGGCTGCAGTTCCAGATGGAGGGTGCAAGAGGCGCTGTCTTGGGGGAGAGAGGGTGAGCGAGGTGTGCTGCCAGCCCTTTTCCCCAAGTGCCTGAGCCGCTGCCGAGCAATGCCTGAGAGTGGAGCTCACTCCCAGCCTGTCCTCGAAGAGTGCCTCCAGCAGCACCACCAACAGCAGCAGGCACCACCACCTCTTCCAGGGAAGCGGCTCTCTGGCTCTCTTTCTCTCTCGGCACCCCTAGCTCCAGCCTAGCCAGAGACCCCTCACCCCGCGGTGCTTCCTCCTCCTCCTCCTCCTCCTCTCTGTCCTGCTTCAGCCACCTCGGCTCTGAGGCTGCCTTGGCTCGCCTCACAAAGTTTGCTCCTCTGTCGTTTTGGTGGTAGCTGCAGTTGCTGAGTGCGCCTTGTTCTGAGGGGGGCCCTCAGAGGAAGGCTGCCAGACCTCTGTGTGTGTGCTTTTTTGTGCATGTGTACCTGTGGGGGGCCCGCCCTGTTCTGTTTAATTTCGTGGGTACTGATTGGGGCTTTTCTCCTTTGGCAAGGCGATGCTGTAAGGGTTTTAAAGATTTTTTTATGTCATGCCCTCCTCCCTCCTGCTAGGCGGTACCCGGCGCTCCCTCCCTTCTCTGCTTCTTCATCCTGCTGCTGCTGCTGGTGGTAGTGAAGGAGCCAGAGGGGGTCGTGGCCAGCGACTAGGGCTCGCACGCCCCTCCTCCTCCTGCTCCTCGGAGTCCCAGCCAGGCTAAGGAAACTCCAGGGCGGCTTCCTCAGGCTCTTGCTCTGCTTGGCAGAAAATCTGATGCGGCCCAGCCTCACCCAGACTCCTTCAGCGGCCCCCCGGAAAATTGAGTTTGAGACCCCTGTTTTAAACTGTTCTTTCTAGGTCTGTTAGGCTATAATTCTAGAAGGACATACATTCCTTTTTTGCAGTTTGGCAGAGGCAAAGATTTCTTTTTCACCTGCTCTGTTATCTTTCATCTAAGTGGCTCTCTGTTGTTTTGAATATTGTCACTTCCTTGAAATACTGTACATTTTATAGAAGCAAATGGAAAGAGAAACATGTCAGATATTGTGCAGTTGAGTCTGAAGATGATCCCTATTTTTTTGGAGTCAGGTACCCACGTTCAAACTCCTGTGGGTTGAACAATTTGGTGCTCTAATAATGGGCTTCTTCCATTTCCAAATCCATCTACATTAACTTAAAAGTATATCCTTTTTGCATGTTAACATATTGCTTCATCTGAAATTAATGAAACATTTCTCATATGTACATCATATGTCTTCAGTGGCTCACCCAGCTACGTCCCTGTCTAGACGTGGGGGCGCTCACCATGCTGGTCCATGCGCTCATAGGCTCAAGAA